CTTTTTGAGATCTCAAACCAAGTGTGCCGCAAGCCTACGTTTGAGTGAAGGTTTCGGCCGTTAGATCGCCCCCTGGGGGCTGGCTGCAGTACAAGTCATAAAGCCCGCCTCCTCCGTGTTAATGAAGGAGACTTGAGCCCAAATAAAAAAAAATATTACACTTGCAATAAAATGTCCCGAAAGATAGTTCTGGTCGATTAAGGCACTGGTTATTGTGCTGAAATAGGTGCAGATCTTCATTTTTGTAAACAGTTTGTTTTTAGCAGTAATTTAATGCTGGGCGTGTCATCGTGATTGACAGCTGTGATTTACAGTTTCTCAAAGCGCGGCGTCTGAGCTTCGGCAGGAGACTGAAGTAGACTGAAGTGTTATTATTCGATTTCTGTGTTATTTTACCATGACAAAATGAGTTCAGCAGTAAACTATAGTTTCTGACATACATGATCCTGGTGGAACACTGTTTATTCGCTAAGTTCAGGGCTTTTTTCGGGCTTTATTAGTTTGCTGATACACGCCTAGCCACCCAGATAGCAAAACACAGTTCCGGCTAGATTCTCGCCTGCCGGAGACTTATCTCTTAGAGCTCAGACTGACTAATGTTACCTCTGCTGGACCTACTCCGGATGCCTGGACTCACTACCCAATTCCAGCCCGAGTCACTCGAGCCAGATGCGGCGGCCAAGCGAGCAGGCGCTGCCGCATGCGAGCCGGAATCAGCCCGCGACGCCGCGAGTAAGTTATGCGCTGCGGCCCGGAGCTGGCGCGATTGAATATATAAAACCCTCATATTTGTTAACGTTATTACATCCACTTGTGTTGATATGACAGCAAACGCATGCTGAGAAGTTCGGGGGGCGTAGTTGATTTTACATAAAGCGTTTGATTGGAAGCTCGACTCTGCTCATTTTCGCGGCTCCTCCTCTGGCTCCATCAGACAATCCTTCTGCGCATGTCTGGCTCCAATTTCAGCAGTCTTTTGCGACAGTTTGTGCCCGTCAAGCAGGCGTTTTGCCCTCAAGGCGTTCAATGGGAAAAAGGGCTGTCGCGTCGTCCATATTTTTTACAGTCATTGTCTCAAACTCGTGAGTGCCATTCGTGCCTGCTGTTCTCGCGTAAACCCACCAGAGGCCGCTGTCAACCGACTGATAGTGTTTTTTAAAGTAGCCACATTCTCTCCCAGTTATTTACTTGCCTATTTAATTTTTTGGCTTTTGTTTTTGTTTTACCTGCTTTCTGGAACCATTCTTCACCAGACTCGAACCCTGCTGTCACGCTCAACTCAGCTCTGCGTCTCAAATACTTGATGTACGCCACGAGCCACTGGACGAACTAGTAGCAGCAGAAAAGCCGTCCATACGATGGTAAGTGGTCAGCTGGTATGTGCGAAATGGAAGTACGTCATACCGCCTCGTAGCTTTTGTTTTACAGACTAAATCCAGCCATATGTACCTCTGGCTACATAATTCGCCATCTCTAGAAATGTATATAGGGCTTCGTTTTCAGAATGAGTCTGTGTTGTACCAGCACAGCTTCACTCTGAAAATGTAGCCCTATATACATTTCTGGAGATCGCAAATTATGCAGCCAGAGGTACGCATTTCGTCTTTAAAACGAAGGCTACGAGGCGGTATGCCCCCGTTCCTTTTTTACGCTTACCAGCTGACCGATTACCTCTGTGTGGATGGCTTTTTCGCTGTTACCAGTTTGTCCAGTAGCTTGCTGCATACGTCGGAAAATTTTAAATGCAGAGCCGTGACAAACGAGCTTCGAGTCCAGCGAAGAAAGGCTTCAGAAAGCAGGTACGACAAATACAAAAGGCTGGCCAATTAGTGCTTTTTAAAACACTATCGGTTGGGTTTAGGAAAGAGGGCGGGTGGGGTGGATCGGTCTGTCGGGTTTGGGGAAGGGGGTAGGTGGTGGGAATTGGTTGGTCAGTCAGTCGACAGCGACCTCTGGTGGATTTGGTGAGAAGAGCAGGCGTGAATGACACTCTCGAGAGAAATTTAAGATGTCAAAACGCGCACAGAGCGGTTTCGCAAAACCAAAACCAGCGCTCCTAGGATGCATTTGGCGCTCTAGGGGTACGTAATCACAATAAGACTGGGTTGACTAATACTGTATACCTGTATTTCTGAGATGCAATGTATTTTTGGACATTCCCACTAATTTTGTTTTGGGGGGGAGGGGCGGGGGAGGGGCGGGGGGCTGGGGGGGATGGGGGGGGGGTTGTGGTCCAGGGTCACAAATTATATACTTAATCTAAACAGTAATAAAAGCTATAGGTCTCAGTCTCAGACCGCAGCAAACCAAAGGTGCAAATCTTAAAGGTGCAAAATTCTTTAAAATGTTATTTCTTTACTTCTTATATCAAAAATGACCAATCTTTCTGAACACTTTGTCTAATTTGAACTTTAAATCAAAACTAAAATCTCAATAATAATGCAGACAGTGAATTTTCACCATGACTGATAGAAGTGATTTGGGAGAAAAAGACTGAGGTGTTTACATCCACAAATGAAAATGAGTAGGCACAGGTTTATTTAGTACTGACAACACAGATTCTTATTCATTCGAGATGGAGGGTGTACTCTAACAGGACAGTAAATGGTTATAAACATTGCCATAAATCCTACACAGCGACAGCTATGATCAAAGTAAATTAAACCTGAAACAGCAGCTATCATTTAAATGATGAATATCTAAATTAAACAAACGTAAAATCGTGTCCATTTACTGTAAAAAAAAGAGAAGACAAGAAAGTTGACTTGACTGATAATTGTAAGGCAACTTGGGTTACAAGTGGAGTCAATTCAAAGAAACGCTGTGCCTAAGTTGCCTTAAAATTTTCAGTTGGGTCAACTTTTATTTAGTTTTTACAGTGTTTAGCGTTACGGCTTGCATAACAATAAAACTCTTTCAACTGCAGCTTTTGAATACAAATAAGAAAAACAAAACAGTAATGCCATTATCTAGAGATCTGCAGGGTTCAAAAGGTCAGTTTATGCATCTAAAATAACAACAAACGAGAGACAAATCATAAAGGATTATCTGTCCAATAACCCACCAATCAACTTTTAAATCATCAGGCTATAAATGTAAATCCTGTAAGAACGGTATTATTTCATCACTTGAGGATGTTGATCAATAAAGGGGTTAACAACAAACGACATTAAAGTATTTAGTACTCAAATACAATTATTCAGAATCCACCATGATTTCTAAGTGGCCTCTGTATGTATAAATAAAATGACAGTATTGTTTTACCAACTGGCGATGTGTCCGTATTGCACATAAACGGTGACGAGCGAAGAACCACCAACTTATAATTCACCCAGAAATGTGAGTTCACGTCTTACTTTCACTGTTTACTCACCTTAATGTTGAGTTTCTGAAAAGTAAATCGAGATATTTGCCAAATAAGAAGACTGCTATTATCCATAAGCTGACCGAACTCTCAAAAAGAAAGTAATGACTAAAACAATAATTATAATAAAAATATAATATAACTTGTGCTATGCTGTATCATCTTTGAGGCCATACAGCAACTCTAAAGAGGGAAACACACAGAATTTAAAGAGACAGTTCACCCAAAAATGACAGCTTTTAATTAAAGCCAAAAGATTTCTGACCCTCAACTGTATTTACTCTTCAAAAAGATCATAAACGCAATCAAATTAAGTAGTTTATATCTTAAAAACACTTTACATTAATTTAATTAGGCTTTTATTTACATCTGAACATTAATTAATGCACATACATGAAGCACATCTAAATATAGACCATGCTTGCTACACTTGATGCCAATAGCTGCTTTTCCGACAGCTGTCTTCAAAATATCTTCATTGTGTTCGACAGAATTAAGACACTCAACATTCTGGAAACACTTTAGTTTGATATATTGAAGAACTTTAGCAAAATTGACTTTTATAGTTTATGTTGTTTCTACTCTCGATGCCAATAGCTGCTTTTTTCCAGCATTCTTCCAAAAAATATATATATTTTGTGTTCAGCAGAATAAAAAACTCCTCAAAGACCCTTGTTTGATTGAGTAAACTGTGAGCAAATTTACATTTCTTGGGTGAACTATCCCTTTAATGAACTTCACATAGGTTTTCTTCTGTTGAATACAAAAAGACGATATTTCCTGAAGAAATAGACCATTGACTTTTTCCAACTTTGGAAGTGAGCAGTGACAAATTTCTTCAAAATATCTTCATTATATTCGACAGAATTAAGTCAATCAACATTTTGGAAACACTTTAGTTTGATATATTGAAGAATGTTCACTTGTTAATTTTGCTCCTACACTTGATGCCAATAGCTGATTTTTCTAGCATTCTTCCAAAAAAAAAAAAAAAAAAAAAAAAAATATATATATATATATATATATATATATATAGTTCAACAGAATAGAAATCTCCTTAAAGACCACATTTAGGTTGAGCAAACAGTGAGCAAATTTACATTTCTTAGGTGAACTATCCCTTTAATGAACTTCACATAGCATTCACGCTCTAGGGCACAGGTGTCAAACTCAGTTTCCGGAGGGCTGCAGCTCTGCACAGTTGAGATCCAACTCCAATTAAACACACCTGAGCAAACTAACTGAGTCCTTTAGGCTTGTTTTATACCTCCAGGTAAGTGTTTTTTCTTCTGCTGAATACAAAAAGGCGATATTTCTGAAGAAATCTGACCATTGACCTCCAGAGTATTTGTTTTTTTCGACTTTGGAAGTCAATAGTTACAGCTGTCTTCAAAATATCTTCATTGTGTTTGACAGATTTAAGACACTCGACATTCTGGAAACACTTTAGTTTGATATATTGAAGAACTTTAGCAAAATTGACTTTCATAGTTTATTTTGTTTCTACTCTCAATGTCAACTGCTGCTTTTTTTCCAGCATTCTTCCAAAAAATATATATGTATTTTGTGTTCAGCAGAATAAAAAACTTAAAGACCCTTTTTTAGGATGGGTAAACAGTGAGAAAATGTACATTTCTTGGGTGAATTATTCCTTTAATGAACTTCACATAGCATTCACGCTCTAGGGCACAGGTGTCAAACTCAGTTTCCGGAGGGCTGCAGCTCCAACTCCAATTAAACACACCTGAGCAAACAAATTGAGTCCTTTAGGCTTGTTTTATACCTCCAGGTAAGTGTTTTGGAACTAAACTGTGCAGGGCTGCAGCCCTCCAAGAGCTGAGTTTGACACCCCTGTTCTAGGGGGGAATTAATAATATAAACCACACACTGAAAGAAATGATTCAATGGATTTTACTCAATTATTTTAATGTAAATGATTTATACGGGCTGAATTTAATCAAACAAATCAAGTTAAACGATACTTAATTTAATTTAAGTTCAACCCATATAAATCGTTTGCAAGGACTTACCTAAAGAAAATAACTGAGTAAATCTAATAAATAATTCCTTCAGTGCACCAATCTTGTGTGATTAAAAATCGTCATAATATGTTGTAGTGTTAATCGCACTAGCTAGAAGCAGGAGGGATGTATGTGTATCAGAAAGCCTGGAATGTGTCCTAAATCAGGGCTGTAAAACCTCAAAAACAAACCAAAGTGCACTGAAAAAAATGAGTTCTGCTAAACTGTTGCAAACAATTTATATGGGCTGAATTTAAACAATCAAATTTAATTTAGTAATGTTCAAACTCAGCCCAAATAAATTGCCTGCAACCACTTACCTTAAAAAAAAAACTAATAAATCCAACGAATCCTTTTTTTCAGTGTGCTATTCGCTCAAACTCGTACGGCGGCGCCTCCAATCAGCTCTGTGGTGTCGCTTTCTGAGGCGTGACCCTCCTCCTCATCCTCACTACCTTCATCATCCGAGTCCTCTATGGGCGAGTAATACTCATCGTTGGCCAGCAGGGGCGCATCGTGCTGTGGCGTGTGTGGCAGGCACTGCGCCGCGGTGGTGACGGTGGCTGGCTCTGATGCAACTGTGGATGAATAAGAAGGAGGTGGGCTGGAGGAGGCAGGAGAGCCGGGATTGGACGGCCGGAGGAGAGGCGTGCGCTCGTCTTCCTCTTCAGCGTCGTGAGGTCCTGCCTCTTCGTCTGAATCTGAAGACTCTGAGTATTCTGGGTTGGGACGGGTCACGCGTTGCTTGCACACCGGGCAGGTTTTCTTGGTCTGGGTGAGCCAGGGGTCCACACACCTAGAGTGGTAGGCTGAACAGAGGGGAGTTATATTTATTAGGTTTTGCTACTCTGATTTGCAGTGCTGTATGCATGTTTTTAACAAATCTGAAGCATTAAAAAATACCATTATATGTTTGTAGATACTTAGCTATTGTGTATTGTTCTAATTGACCACACTTTCATTATGTTGGAGGCTGTTTTTGCCCCATTGACTTCTATTATAACCACATTTTTTGACTGCAAAGCCATGAACATACAATCATGCATTCTTGAATTTTGGTGATTGGATGAGGGGAGTTAAAATGAGGATGTTGTGGTACTTTGTTTTCCTTTAAAGGGTAATGACACCCCCCACTTTCTGTTTTTTTCAAAAGATGCATCATAATATGCGTGGAGCTCTGCAACCAATGGACAGGAGGGGGCGTGGCCAGCAGAGCAGGGGAGAAGGAGGGGATGAACTGTTGTCAGTCGGCTCACAAAATGAGAAACAAACTGTGAGGAGACGCATGATTTTATAGTTTACAAAGTTAAAATGCAAAGAAATAAACAGTAATTTAATGCCCTGCTACATTTGTTATTCGTAATTTCATAAACAACCACAATTTACACAATTGTAAAAATAATCATGTTATACAAACACTAAATGAGGACTTTTCTCTCAATCCCCGGGTCTGAATGCAGACTCAGTGCAGCAGGTCTTTAGCCTTTTCTATTTCAACCATTAGCCCTGCTGGTAATCTGGAGGATTTAGGCGAACACAACAGCACAGTGATGTGTCTAAATGTGAACGAACTCCTGATAAAAGACAACCTCCGCCATTCTCCGATTCTCATACTGTTTTCCTGACAAAAATGCTTGCTGCACACAAACAGCTTTGCTGTATCGCGGGGAAAAACATGCAACAAACCCAGTGGATCATGGAAACAAAGACATACGGCCATTCATGAACAGCTAAATACTGTCTGCCGTGAGTCCTTAGACGCGTTCTCATCCAGTAATCAAGGTAGGATCTCACAGCTTGGCACTGGCAGGTCTGTCTTGCCTTCGGAAAGCACGCGCAGTCATGAATAACTAGGAAGCCGACTCTTTTCAAAGGATAAGAAAACTCCACTATGAATAATAGTTTGAACTCGACGCGTCATCTTTGCACTTGCAGTTTTGCGCTACGTCGCTGATTTTGATCCACCCCAAAAATCATTTTAAACCCGGAAGCTGAAATGAGCAGACAAAACCTCAAAATTATCCAGTTTTCCCCACAATTAAAGCTGACAGGTGCTAACATTGTCTTAACTGATGCTCAACACACAGAAATCTCAAAAAAAGTAATCGCGTGTTTTGCGAACCTTTAAATGTGCTGTGTGTACGTTTTTTGACTCTACTGAAGTCAAAGCTAAATAAGGCTATGATGATTGTCAATGATGAGAGACATCCTTCATCAAACACCTTCCAATTGTTACCATCAGGTCGTTGATGCTGTGTTCCCAGGTGAGTAAGAAATAGGAAAAAATGATCATTTATACCCCAAGCAATTAAGTGTTTATATTCCTACTCCCTCATTAGCAGTTGATGGCTAGTAGACTAGATATTTATTTATTGTAGGGGTACCATGTTTTTAAATTATTTATTTATATATACAGTTGAAGTCAGAATTATAAGCCCCCCTATTTAACGGAGATTTTTTTTCAACACATTTCTAAACATAATAGTTTTATTAACTCATTTCTAATAACTAATTTATTTTATCTTTGCCATGATGACAGTAAATAATATTTGACTAGATATTTTTCAAGACACTTCTATACAGCTTAAAGTCACATGTAAAGGCTTAACTAGGTTAATTAGGTTAACTAGGCAGGTTAGGGTAATTAGACAAGTTATAGTATAATGATTGTTTGTTCTGTAGACTATCGGAAAAAAAACATAGCTTAAAGGGGCTTATAATTTTGTCCCTAAAAATGTTTTTTTAAAAATTCAAAACTGCTTTTATTCTAGCTGAAATAAAACAAATAAGACTTTCTCCAGAAGAAAAAATATTATCAGACACACTGTGAAAATTTCCTTGCTCTGTTTAACATTTTGGGAAATATTTAAAAAAGAAAAAAAAATTCAAAGGGGGGCTAATAATTTTGACTTCAACTATATATATATATGCCAAATGTGAAATGTCAGAAGTCTTATGAATGAGACCTCTGGCCTGTAATAGTTTAGGTTTTATAACATTCTTTATCATTTGAGTAACTGCTTTTTATTTATTATACACAGTGCTCATGTCAAGACAAGTTTATTGAGCAGCTCTTACCATGTGAACACGGCAGCACTCTCAGCTTATCTCCCTCTTCATACTCATCAAGGCAAATCGCACACACATCATACGAATCCCCTGAGGAGAATATTTTGGACATATCGTTCATATTTTGGACAAGACAGTCAGTAAAAAAAAGCATATCTGGAAATTACACGAGAAGTTTACTGTGGTAAACAAAAGCACGCTATAAATGCATTTTATACAGCTTATGTCACATTTAAAGGGATAGTTCACCCCCAAATAAAGATTCTGTCATCATTTACTCACTCTTGACTTGTTTTTTTTTCTGTTGAACATTTACAATATACAACATATACAATCTTTTAGTTTAATAAATATTAAAATTGATTAATATCTATGATAAATATTCTAAAATCCCTCCAGAAAACACCTTTTTAAACATTTCCCCTAAAATATTTCCTGAATAAAAAAGTTATCTAATATTATTTACAGTAAAAAATACACATTCTATTCAAATAGGTTTTAAATAATACTAATAAACGGTAAGATAAAGATTATCATTTATTTTCTTGTCGGCTTAGTCCCCTAATCAATCTGGGGTTGCCGGGGTCGGAATGAACCGCCAAGATAAAGATTAATACAAAAAAAAAAAAAAAAAAAAGCATTACAGTCACTTTTGAAGATAAACAAATATATAATATACACAAGGTTAGTATGCGTGATCAGATTTCTAGTAGGGTCCCAGTATGGCCGGGTCGCGGGGGCCGCAGTCTTAGAGGAGAACCCCAGACTTCCCTCTTCCCAGACACTTCCTCCAGCTCCTCCGGGGGGATACAGAGGCATTCCCAGGCAAGCCGAGAGACAAAGTCCCCCCAGCGTGTCCTGGGTCTTCCCTGAGGCCTCCTCTTGGTGGAACATACCTGGAATACCTCCCTAGGTAGGCGTCCAGGAGGCATTCGAAACAGATGCCCCAGCCTCCGCAGCTGACTTCTCTCAATGTGGAGGAGCAGCAGCTCTACTCCAAGCTCCTCCAGGATGTCAGAGCTCCTCACCCTGTCTATAAGGGAGTGCCCTGCCACCCATCGAAGAAACTCAATTCGGCTACTTGTATCCGAGATTTTGTCCTTTTAGTCAGGGCCCAAAGCTCATGAGCATACATGAGAGTAGGAAAGTAGACTGACTGGTAAATCGATTACCCCATTACAGCTGCCACTGCACCAATCCACCTGTTAATCTCACGTTCCTTCCGTCACTCGTGAACAAAACCCCAAGATACTTGAACTCCTGCACCTTGGGTACGGTCTCTCCTCCAACCTGGAGATGGAAAACCCCCTTTTTCCGGTGGAGCAACATGGCCTCGGACTTGGAGGTGCTGATTCTTACCAGCACCTCCTAATGAGAAGCAGTTTTTCTTATCATGAATCACAATCTCTCTGTTAGGACTGTACTTACCAGCTCTTTAAGCCATTCGTCAAATGTTGGTACCATATCTTGTTTTCTTCTCTGTAAAATAATTTTTAATAAATTCTGCAAGAATTAAAAGTAAAAGAAGATGTTTTGAAGAATGTTGGAAACAGGTAATCGTTGACGTCCATAGTATTTGTTTGTCAAGGTTTCCAACATTTTTTTTGTATATCTTTCATTGTGTTCAACAGATTTGTTTATGTGAATAAACAAAGTTGAGGGCAAAATCATCATCCCTCCAAAATTACCAGCCTTCTATTCTTTTTCAGATATTTCCTCTGAATAAATATTATATAAAAAATACAAGTTGACAACGACAACAATAACAAACTCTATTAGGTTTGGAATTAGTCAAGGGTGAGTAAACGATTTCATTTTAGGGTGAGCTATCCCTTTAAAAAACAATCCAGCGATGAATTCTCTCATTCTCACCTTTATTAAACTTGTGAATGGGGATTTTCTTCAGCTGTTCTTTCGAGAGTCTGTTTTTACGAAGTCTCTTTCGGTGCTGCACACATCGCACAATCTGGACCAATCAGAAGAGACAACACACATCATCACCGACCATAATAAATGTACCACTGACAGTTCCAAATCCAACACATTTGTCAAGCTAAACAATATTTATTCTACTGTATAAATAAATGTATGATGTAAAGCCACTCCAGACTGTTGAAAGCATTCTCTTTATACTGTTGATTGAGATACTTCTGCATTCATTTTAAAACGTAAAACTCTGATCCCTATTATAATAGAAAAAAACACTAATGTTTCATTCTATGGAATAAAATATAATTAAATAAATAAATAAAAGGGAGGTTGCTTTTTGATGTCAATACATTCATTCATTCATTCATTTTCTTGTCGGCTTAGTCCCTTTATTAATCTGGGGGTCGCCACAGCAGAATGAACCGCCAATTTATCCAGCAAGTTTTTACGCAGCGGATGCCCTTCCAGCCGCAACCCATCTCTGGGAAACATACACATACACACACACACACTCTTACCCCTACGGAGAATTTAGCCTACCCAATTAACCTGTACTGAATGTCTTTGGACTGTGGGGGAAACCGGAGCACCCGGAGGAAACCCACGCAAACGCAGGAAGAACATGCAAACTCCACACAGAAATGCCAACTGAGCCAAGGTTCGAACCAGCGACCTTTTTGCTGTGAGGCGGCAGCACTACCTACTGCGCCACTGCGCCACCGTGAATACATTTAGTTGAGGGCAAAATGATAAAAAAAAAATGTTTTTTTTTTCAGATAATTCTAAACAGATATATGTAATGTATTTTTTATTTAGTGCCATGTCAGCAACCAAGGCTATCTTCATGGCAGGAATCTTTCAACAATAAATATACAATTTAAAAATCAACAAACAAAATAAAACATAAATTAAATAAGATTTTTTGTGTTAATACATGATAAAAATTCTAAAATCTTTTCGGGTGTTACTTTGTCAAAAATGTCCTTAAAAGAGTTCATTTCATAAAAAGTTCTTCTGGAATCAGTAAAAGCAGGACAGTCCAGTAAAATATGTTTTACAGTAAGAGGAGTTTTGCAGCACAAACACTGAGCAGGGTTTTCACCTTGGAGCAAAAAACCATGTGTTATTCTCGTATGCCCAATACGACATCTGGTAAAAACTACTTGATCAAATCGATTCTTAAAATGTCTTAAAATTCTGTGTGAAACTTCAGGTTGGATTTCATGTAATTTATTGTTTTCTAATGCATCCCATTCCTTTTGCCACTTGTTTAAAATGTAAGCGTTGATAAAAGGTTTCATCTCTGACGGAGGAATTTGGCATTTCTAAACAGATATATAATGGAGAAAGGAAGGACATTTTCACAGTATTTCTTTAATATTTTTTCCTTATTTGTTTTACTTTATCTGGAATGAAAAGAGTTTTTTTTATTTTTTATTCATTCATTCATTTTCTTGTCGGCTTAGTCCCTTTATTAATCCAGGTTCGCCACAGCGGAATGAACCGCAAACTTATCCAGCAAGTTTTTACGCAGTGGATGCCCTTCCAGCCACAACCCAGCGCGAACCCACGCAAACGCAGGGAGAACATGCAAACTCCACACAGAAACGCCAACTGGGCCGAGGTTCGAACCAGCGACCTTCTTGCTGTGAGGCGACAGCACTACCTACTGCGCCACTCTTTTTTTTTTTTTTTTTAAATTATTGAAAAAATTGGCTACAGACCAAACAACTGTTATCTGATTACTTGCCTATTACCAAACTTTAATAGTTAACCTAATCAATCTAGTTCTCTCTCTAATCTTTAAATGTCACTTTGAACTATTATAATAATATTATGTACCATCATCGCGTCATCAGTCAAAGACAAAATAAACTAGTGATTAGAAACTAGTTATTGGGGCGACGCAGTGGCCTTGGCTCAATTGGCGTTTCTGTGTGGAGTTTGCATGTTCTCCCTGCATCGGCCTGGGTTTCCTCCGGGTGCTCTGGTTTCCCCCACAGTCCAAAGACATGCGGTACAGATGAATTGGGTAGGCTAAATTGTCCGTAGTGTATGAATGTGTGTGTGAATGTTTCCCAGAGATGGGTTGCAGCTAGAAGGGCATTCGCTGCGTAAAAAAACGTGCTGGATAAGTTGGCGGTTCATTCCGCTGTGGCGACCCCGGATTAATAAAGGGACTAAGCCGACAAGAAAATAAATAAATGAATGAAACTAGTTATTACAACTGTTATGTTTTTTAAAAATCTGTTTAACAGCACTTGGGAAATTAAAAGGAGAGCTAATAACTCTGACTCCAACTGTATATCATATTATGGTTAGATCCTCTATGAAGGATCTGAATGTTCTAGACATTTCAAACTTTATGCATGATTCTTTCATAAAAACCACATTTAAAGGGTTTATAAATGACAGCACTGACCATTATGATGACCATGACAATGATGATCATGCAGACGACTCCAGTGAAGGGGATGAGATAGTAGGACAGAGGGAAGGAAAACTCTGGCTTCAGAACCACATACGCCCTGCAGGAGAGCGGGTCAGCAAGTTATAAACGCACACAAAAAACCTTTGACCTGTCTTTTATTTTTATTTCTGGGAATAATTAAACAAAAGAAAAGCCATTTTCACTGGAATTCATCTTAGACTTTAATGAATAAAAAGTTTGCCCACCACTGGTTTATATTATTCAGTGCTTAATGTATGAATAACCGGTATTATTCTCACCCTTTCTCAGGTATGATTTTGTGTAGCATCTGAGAGGCAAAGAAGCTTGTAAACACAGAAGGAATGGATATCTCCTCTGCGATGGTCTCTGAAAAGCAAAACAAATGGACAGCAGATTTAAAGAATGATAAAGCATGAGTCTATAAAGGCACATATATAAAACCTTAATAACTGTTTTTTAAACATGTCTAATTTGATTATTTTCAGCCATCGATCAGAAAGTACTCAAAAATAGCCGTTTGTTTTAATATTACCAAAAAGAAAGTGCACAGCTTTTGTTGGCTTACTCGTGATTACCCTTGTACAACCTTACCAAATACACACATTTGTTACTTCTTCAGCACAAGAGTCAATTTACTCAAAAATAATGCGTGAATCTCACCGTTGCTGTACCCCATATTGAGCAGTGAATTGGAGTACATGTTGTGCACTATAGCCGCACTGTAACCAGCCTGCTGTGCATGATACACCTGAAAAAAAACAAGAACAACACTGTTCACTTCTATTCATTACACACTAAAAATGGAGATCATCTGAAACGGAGTGTGTGGAGAGGTAAGCATGATCGAACACCCAATGAGGGGGGAGAGCATGCTCAGAGCCCAGCGGCTAATCAGCAAGCCAATCAGAAATAATAAATAACACCTGTTTTTTCTAGTGATTGAGCCGGAGAGACACCCTTCTTAAGGAGAAGAGAAAGAGCAGCCGGGAGAGGAGAGAGCACACACACTGCTACATGTGTGGTGGCATATAAAATTAATAAAACAGTTTGTTTACCTGAATCGCAGACCCTGTCTTCTTCTTCCCTCAACAACAACGAACTTTACTACAGAGTGTTATTTACATTAGTGCGTTTTCATTAGCGCGTTTTTACCCCCCTCCTCCCCTCCTCTATAGGACACTGGCCTTCCGTAAACAAATTTAGTGACCCCTGCTTTAAGCCTTGTTTAAATTCGACATTGCAGAGTTTGCGGAGGTTCGCTTTGGGTGCGCGCGGCATGATTTCGGTTGGCAGTGTGTAGGGAATTTTTTGAGATTCAAGCGAACAGTGCATGCGGCGCCACAACTGATTCGAGTTGAATATGAAACACTTTAAAGCGATTTAATCTGAAACAGTACGACTGTACACACATCTTATGAACCATGATCAAAGAGATAACCAGATAATCAATAACTCTTGGCTAGAAATTGCAACAGCCGAGGGAAAGGAGAAAGTTTTTGCTAAAAGGTTTGAAAAAACCTAAGGGATGAGTTTGTTAAAGCCAAAAGAAGCCATAGCAGAAGTTCTCTCCAGACTGGACTATTGCAACTCTCTACTATCCGGGCTTCCAGCTAACTCTATCAAACCTCTTCAGCTGCTCCAGAATGCAGCAGCACGAGTGGTCTTTAATGAACCTAAAAGAGCACATGTCACTCTGCTGCTCATCCGTTTGCACTGGCTGCCAGTTGCTGCTCGCATCAAATTCAAAGCTTTGATGTTTGCTTACAAAGCGACTTCTGGATTTGCTCCTTATCTGCTCTCACTTCTGCAGATGTATGTGCCCTCCAGAAACTTGCGTTCTGTGAATGAACGTCGCCTCGTGGTTCCGTCCCAAAGAGGGAAGAAATCACTTTCCCGAACTCTCGCATTCAATCTGCCCAGTTGGTGGAATGAACTCCCTAACTGCATCAGAACGGCAGAGTCACCTGCTGTCTTCAAGAAACGACTAAAAACTCAATAATACACACACACACACACACACACACACACACACAAACAAACACACACACACAGACACACAGACACACAGACACACAGACACACACCGGTCGATTGAAGTCACACTGCAGATGGATAATATTGAGTCTCTACCCAAAGATGAAACCTCAGCATTATAGCCAAGCAGTTGGAACCTTCTGGAAACTACATGCTACAAAGAATACTTCATCGACGTTTGTTAAAGGAAGGATCAGTAAAGAGTAACTTGTCAGGATGGGTTTCTTCCTCCATTTCTCAAGTGTAAGTACGTGCGATTAAAGTTGTTGCCTTGCTGCTTTGTTTACAGAGCTCCGTGGAGGAGGGTAGTGTGTGTGTTTGTGTGTGTATGCGCGCGTTGTCGTCCGGCGTAGGGTTAAGTGTGTGTGTGGGTGTGCGCGCGCGCAAGGACGAGGGCAATGTGTGTGTGTCTGTGAAAAGAGCAGAGTGAGACAAGCTAGAAGATCTCCTCAACTGTTTTTGCTCAATAAAATAGTTAGTCGTGAGTATTTTCATGTCCATCGTCTGTATTTACATTGACCCACTGGCAGCTAAAAGCCACGCGTGTATGAACTGTGATTACTTTTATATTGCTGATTAGCTGTTGGGCATTTCACTCTCTCACTGAAGGCAGTGGAACAATCGCAACAGACTGTCATCGGTCCAATCAGCGCAGATTAGCATTGCGCTAAGGAGGGGTTTGGGAACAAATGCATCACTGGACGATTAATATGGGAGTCGCTGGGATAATTAGGTAAGAATAAATGTAGATTATAATACTATGAAAGTGTTTTTTGACCTTGCATGCATTTTAGACTGTAGTTGGAGACCCTTACAACCAAGATATGACCCTATTTCATGTATAATATGGGCTCTTTAAAAAATCTTGTATGGTTATAAAAATGCTAATAATAATTAAAATAATTTATAAAAACAATACAAAATAATTAGTTTAAAAATATTAAACGACATTATGATATGATGTACTTCCGGAAACTTCTTTTCTCTTTATCCGTCTGATTTTACGGTGGGTTTCTTTTGACCGCCCCCTGTCGTTTTAAAGAATATCACAACGGCGAACGCAGCAAGTATAAAAGCCTTGTCCGTTTCGCGAGGGCACAATACGGCGCCAGGTGAAAGTATAATTCCAGCTTTAAGGGCTTTCATGCAGCGAGACCCAAATCACTATTAGAAAAGCCCATATAATAACATTAACCTTGACATCGAAGTTACAGTCATAGCGTCGAATGAGGACGATGTATTTTGTAGTGCTGTTGGGATCAGCGGGTGTTGGAGAAGCTGGAGGAGGATCTATAGGTGTGCAGGCGTTCTGAGGACGAGCTTCGATAAGAACACCCTGAAACAAAAAAAACAGAGAAAAATCAGTCACTCTTACACACTTCAAAAACTACAAACCCAACAGCACTGACTGGATTACCATGAGTCCATCCTTGGGTAGAGCAGAGCCAAAGAGAGCAGGCAGATCCTCAAACAGCATGGAGGTCATGTTACTGTAATGCTGCAATGCATGGAAAACGAGTCCATTAGCAACTGAATAAAGCAATCCATTGTAAAGCAATCAAACAAGCCATGACATTACATTAATATTGATTGTTGGAAGGTGAAGTGATTTGTGCAACCAAATACTCAACAAATGTACTGCAGCGTATTATAAAGCTTAGTTATGACTATCCAGCTGTTTGTGATTTCTACAAATTATGGATTGTGCATCCGGTTTGGAGAACTCTCATTCAAAATAACTGAAATGAAAATCAGACTTGGAGAAATATGTCATGCCTTATTTTCAATTACACAGAATTAGGTTTTCTTGTTAAGTTAAAGCTGATAAATGCATGACTCAAGGGGATGTTTTATAGACTATTAAGGCTGAATCTCTAGACTGAGGCTGAAACTAGAGCTGGGCAATATGACAAAAATCCCATTTAGCGATTCAAGTCCATATAACGATATAAACTGACCGGCCACTTTATTAGGTACACCTGTCCAACTGCTCGTTAACGCAAATTTCGAATCAGCCAATCACATGGCAGCAACTCAATGCATTTAGGCATGTAGACACGGTCAAGACGATCTGCTGCAGTTCAAACCGAGCATCAGAATGTGGAAGAAAGGTGATGTAAGTGACTGAATGTGGCATGGTTGTTGATGCCAGACGGCTGGTCTGAGTATTTCAGAAACGGCTGATCTACTGAGATTTTCACGCACAGCTATCTCTAGGGTTTACAGAGAATGGTCTGAAAAAGTTAAAATATCCAGTGAGCGGCAGTTCTGTGGGCGCAAATGCCTTGTTGATGCCAGAGGTCAGAGGAGAATGGCCAGACTGGTTCCAGCTGATAGAAAGGCAACAGTAACTCAAATATCCACTCATTACAACCGAGGTCTGCAGAAGAGCATCTCTGAACACACAACACGTCCAACCTTGAGGAAACTGAGGCTACAATTAATACAGGCTCATCAAAATTAGACATTAGAAGATTGGAGAAACGTTGCCTGGTCTGATGAGTCTTGATATCTGCTGTGACATTTAGATGGTCAGGTCAGAATTTGGCCCCAGCACTATGAAAGAATGGATCCATCCTGCCTTGTATCAACGGTTCAGGCTGGTGGTGGTGTAATGGTGTGGGGAAGATTTTCTTGGCACACTTTGGGACTATTAGTACCAATTAAGCATAATCTCAATGCCTACCCGAGTATTATAGCTGACCATGTCCATCCCTTTATGACCACAGTGTACCCATCTTCTGATCTCATCTCAGGCTGGTTTCTTGAACATGACAATGAGTTCATTTTACTCAAATGGCCTCCACAGTCACCAGATCTCAATCCAATAGAGCACTTTTGGGATGTGGTGGAACGGGAGATTGGCATCATGGATGTGCAGCCGACAAATCTGCAGCAACTGTGTGATGCTATCGTGTCAAAATCTCTGAGAAATATTTCCAGTACCTTGTTGAATCTATGCCACGAAGTTCTAAAGGCAAAAGGGGGTTCAGCTCGGTACTAGTAAGGTGTACCTAATAAAGTGGTCAGTGAGTGTACATATTTTTTGTATAATCAATCAATTAATAGTTTAGATACATGTTGAAGGCTAAATTATAAGAGTTTCTGAAGGTGAAAGACTTAAGACATTTAAGACCATTACGAATGAAATTTTAGATTTATACAGGGCTAAATGCTAAGGATTTTTTCGAATATCCCAGTTTGAAAAGACTTTCACTTGTCCTATCAAATTTTTTTTTAATATTTAATAGAATTAATAATACAATAAAACTTATTTTGTTTTTTAAAATAACAATTTTAGATTTTTTAATTAATTTTCAAATATATCCATTCACAAACCCTAAAGCCCCCACCACGAATAGAACAAAACAAAGCTGTCAATTACTTCAGTCTACAATAAAAATAAAATTAAGAAAAGAAAAATTAAAGATTTAATACCTACAACACAACATTTCAGTAGATTTAAGACATTTTAAGGACTAAAATTTAGCTTTTGAAAATGTGTATTTTTCCCCCCAACATTTTAAAGTATATACTCAGTAATGTACTCATTCATAATCATATTTATGATTTTTTTTCAGAACTTCAGGGCAAATGTTTGATTAAAATAATAATAAAAACACTTTTCAAAAACTATTGACTACAGGCCTAACATAAAAATAATAAAAATTACAAAATAAAATGCAAAATGTACACATTAAGTGTTTAACATTGGAACGTTCTCATTTTAACATCTCAAATTTCTCAATGCTGTTAATCATGTTTCTGTCTGCTTCTCTGTAATAGTGTGTAATAGTGGGCTCATCTAAATTATAGAAAAGTATTACCATAAACAATCTATTTTGTGACAACACGATATAAATGATAGAGCATAATATGAAACTATAGACTTTTTATTATGTCCGTATGATATATAAGGTCATATTTCACAGCCTTAATTTCTCTGAAATTGTTAATAATCCTGAAAGCAGACACTTACAGCATATATATATGCCTGACCAGGAGAAGGCACCAGAGTGCAGAAGATGATGAGGAGGACTGATACGGCCAGCGGCGACCCCAAACACACCATCCTGAATTAGGCGAGCCCTGAAGAGGGGCGACCAATACCTGCACGCATCCATGCATGCACACACGCACACACACACACACACACACACACACACACACACACACACACACACACACACACACACACACGGACAGAGACAAAAAAACAAACACAAATACACAAACAAACACACAAAAACAAACAAAAGAACATGCAAACAAACAATAAAACAATTAAACGCACACACAATTAAACACAAAACAAACAAACAGGAATGCACAAACAAACAACAAGAAATAAACAAACACACACACACACAAACAAAAACACAAACAAACACAAAAACAATTAAACAGACAAAAACAAATTAATACACAAACAAACAAAAACACAAAAAACAACCAAATACATACAATTACACACACACAAAACAAATGAACACACAAACAAACAACACACACAAATACACAAAACACACACAGACAAACAAACACACAAAAAACAAATGAACACACAAATACATGAAAAATAAACAAACACACACACACATGCACAAACAAATAAACAGCACAAACACAAACAAACACACAAATGCACAAACAAACAAACAAACAAAAACAAACACACACAAACAAAAAAACACAATTAAACACACACACACACACAAAACAAATGAATACACAAACAACACACAAATGCACAAACAAACAAAAATAAAAAACACACAAACACACACAAAAGCAAACAAAAACACATACAAACAAACACAAATGAACAAACAAAACAGACACACACACATACAAACAGAAACAAACCAAAACACAAACACACACGCACACAAAAACAAATGAACACACACACGAAAAATAAACAAACACACACACACATGCACAAACAGACACACAAAACAAAAACAACACAAACAAAGAAAAAAACAAACACACAAATGCACAAACAAACAAAAACAAAAAAAACACACACACACACACAAACAAACACACACACACACACAATACAAATGAGCACACAAACAAACACACAAATGCACAAACAAAAAACAGACAAACAAACAAACAAACAAAAACACAAACACACAATTAAACACAAAAATACAAACGAACACAACAAGCACACACAAAAATGAACACACACCCACACAAACACAATCAAACACACAGAAGCAAGCACAGTTTATACAAATTTCATAATCAGGCAGTCGTCAGTGTGACAGAAGGAAACACAGCAGATCCTATATATGGCAGTTTGGTGTTCTAAATAAATGAATCACTTTTTATAACTTTAGATAACTTCTGACTTTACAGATCTTAAGAAATCACATGTCGGCTCATTACGAAGCACTTCTGCCTCAGGATGAACTCAGGATTATGACAGCATTCGTGCAGTTGTATAAGTAGCCCACTAACTGCCAGGAAAAGGTTCATCTATGACATTCCAACAAACCTGAAATTTTGACTGATTATATCTGTGGATCAGATCACTGCGGTGCTTAAAGTTCAACGCTGAAATGGAAAACGAACTTATACTTGGAACAGATTATCAGACACAATGTGTAGCAGGAACTGGATTCTATCTGTTGTTGTTTTTTTAGATGTAGACTTGGCCTAGAAAATTAACATGAGTTTATTATTCATTCATTCATTTTCCTTTGGCTTAGCCCCTTATTTATCAGGGGTTGCCACAGTGAAATCAACCGCCAACTATTCCGGCATATGTTTTATGCAGCGGATGCCCTTCCACAGTTTACTATTAAAAGTGCAAATTTAGAAACTAAATGGGTTTCAGTATTTTACTCAATGTTATGTCATGTATCGTCATAAAAACTGCAATGTCTTAATTATGATTATTTCTATAAATAGCCATATTGATATACAGTGTTCAGCATAATTGAGTTTACCACATTTAGAAAATTTATATCGTATCCATTTCTCAGTGAATATAGGCAATGCATTTTGGTGCATTAAAACAAAACAGATAAAATAATATTTTAGTCACCAAACATTTTAAAAAATCGAAAGATAATACAATTAAATTCAAGCTAAATATTGCAAAAAAAATTTAAATAATAAATAAATAAGCAAATTTTTATTATTATTATTTTTTTGCTTCTCTTGATTTTTCTTCTTTTTTAAAAATTTGTATTTAATATTTTTCTATAACATACATTTGGACGTATTACTGCATTAGTTGGACCGTTATCGTAAGTTATTTTGTTTAGATTAGCTCCGGATTCGACTTCAGTACTGACTAATCTAATGCATAAATATAGTACTGTATATCTTCCTATTAAAAAAATGAAATTAAAAGATAGAATATTGAGGGGCGTACTTATATATGCTAAGCGCTATATAACCACAATAAAAAGATCTATAAAATGCATGAAAATTAAGATTAATGAAAAATATATTTATTACAATTATTAATCTATAAACATTTATTACATATTTTAATATATTTTTAATTAAGATTAATACAAAATATATTTATCAAAATTGTTATTTTATTTCACATTTATTACAAATTTTAATTAAAAAATTAAGATTAGTAAAAAAATGCATTTGCAAACTGCTAATATATATATATATATATATATATATATATATATATATATATATATATATATATATATATATATATATTTTTTTTTTTTTTTTTACTATAATGAATAAAAACATTAACTATTATAAATTATAAATATCCCAAAATGCTAAAATATATATATTTTTTATTATTTAGTATTTGTATTGATTAAAATGATAAACTAACAACATTATTCGTAGTAGTATCACTTCTTTTGGCCAAAAAATACAGTCCAGCAAACCTGATATTTACTATAAGAATTTTATTTAAAAAATGTAGTAAATCTTGCATCTGCATTTTAAATCATTACATTTATTAGATTCATGAGAAACAAAATGGATTTGGTTTTTAGTTTATGGCTTGTATATTAAGCTATTTGCACAAGTAAATATCACACAGATAAATTACCTTAATATCTTAATAGGAACACTTTCGGTCATTTTAAGAACTCCACTTATCTTTCCAGTTAATAATTAACCCTGCCTGTAAAATGTAATGTGTACATTCAGTTAGTACACTGTTAGAAACTTGCATAAAGATAGCCACCATGTTTAGCCACCATGTACAGAGCGCGTCTGTCAGTCACTGCTTATACGTGCATGCACTGGTTCAGAGGTTGCATATGAAAGGTCGACGCACAGTATTAATGTAAAGAAAGTGGGATAGAATGGAAAAATACGAGAGAATTTCGGCAAAAACGGGAGGGTTTATGTGAGTGAAGTGAACAGGAAGTGTTTGTAGAGAAACCGTTTTGCGAGTATACGCAAAACATCTTTGCGAGATAATGCAAAACTTTGCGAGGGAACGCAAAACATCTTTGCGAGATAACGCAAAACTTTGCAAGGGAACGCAAAACATCTTTGCGAGATAACACAAAACTTTGCAAGGGAACGCAAAACATTTTTGCGAGGGAACGCAAAACTTTGCGAGAGAACGCAAAAACTTAGAAATATATATTTTCCTCCCACCCATTTTTTTTCTTTCACCCATTTTATTTTTTTTTAGCCAGCCAATTTTTTTCTCCTCCACTACGTCCGTTAAGGGGTTCCGTACTTATGCAACTTGGCCACTGCTTTACAGAAGTGAAACCGAACCAACCACAAGAATGAACAAGTTCCTTAAGGGACAAATATATAAAGCATGTTTTTAGATTTCAGACTAGCTTCTCTAATCCAAACTGTGTTAACCCTTTATGAGAAACACAACACATATTGAATTCCAGATCATTTAACAAACGGGTTTAATTTATAAACCCTTATCGTAGTCTGTTGGTGAAGAGGCAATCCTGCATTCATTTCAATGATATATTTACAAATATGAAAAATAATAATCGACAGATAAGACAAGGCGTGTCAGAGTCATCAAACATGTTTTTGTAGCTGGAATGAAGACGTCTTTCTAGATCTGCAAAAAGCCAGGTCAAATCATCTTGTATCTTGTTTTATGAATAGTTGATCGCTAAAAGCACTAGATTTATCTACTGATTTCTATCGTTTTATGCAGTTTATTTAAGAAACAACTAAAAAGATGCATGCTGTAAACAGACAGATGGCTAATGTTGCCAGTGAATACATGGATCAATTAAATGCTTAGTATTTGGTGACTTACTAAGTGCACTTAGCCAGTTAAAGTAAGTGCATTCAATTTTTTTCCACATCATTTTGCTTTCACGTATTCCAGATTATTATCATGATGATCCGAAGACTAAATTGTTCAATGCTTACAATGACAGGCTACTTCAAACGTAGCTTTAATATTTCAAAATAGCGCAAGTAAGAAAAACACAGTACATTCCACTTGTTGACTACTGCCTTTTAAGATCTAGAAGGAAGTTTGGCTTATTGTGCAACACTGTAGCCATAAAATAGATGTCATGCATAGTTTAATTAGCAACTTTACAACATTTATTATCATTATTTTTTGTTTTCAGATTGAGGGCATTATACACTTATTTGATTATCAAGTCCTATATAAATATAAGGTTCCATTAGTTAAATGGATTGTTCACCGAAAACAAATACAATTTACTCACCCTCAACTGATTCCAAAGCTTTTTTTTTTTTAGTTTGAGTTGATATTTTTAGAGAAATCTGAAATCTTTAACCATTGACTTCCCTAGTAGGAAAAACGAATACTATTGCTATTGGAAGTCTATTTACTATTGAAAGTCAATGGTTTGAGCTTTCTTCAAAATGTCTAATTTTGTTAAACAGAAAAAAGTCAATACATGTTTAAAACAAGTGAAGGTTAAGTAAATTACATAATCTGTTTTTTAGTGAACTATATTGCTTTTAATGTGAAAGTCGTTCATTGATAGATCTTGTTAACCAACAGTGCGTTATTAACTAATGTTAACAAGCACAACTTTGGATTTTAACAGTGTATTAGTAATTGTTGAACTGTTATTAATGAATAAAAACTGTACAATTATTGTTCATTTTTAGTACATGTTAGTAAAATTGATGTAAAGTTGGTTTAATATGCTGCAAATTTAGACTTTCACCTTAATAATATCATTTTAGAAATGTATCATTTGCCAATTCTAAATAGGGAACTCATATCCAAGTTCAACATTGTTCACAATCCATTAAATAGTGCTAAGGCTGTTCGGAGGTCAGCAATATATATATTTAGAACAATATTTGGAAGATATTTTTAAAGAAATCTGAAATCTTTAACCATTCACTTCCCTTGTAGGAAAAACAAATACTATGGATGGAGGTCAATGGTTTGCGTTTTCTTCAAAATGTCTTATTTTGTGTTTAACAATATAAGAAAGAAAGTCTAGCAGGTTAAAACATGTAAAGGGTAAATAAATCACATAATTCTCGATTTTAAGTGAACTACATTCATTTGATGTTATTAAATGCAGTATTTATTTATCTTTGTTAACGTTAGTGTAAAAAAAGTCATTCATTGTTGGTCAACTAACAGTGCATTATTAACTAATGTTAAAAAGCACGACTTTGGATTTTTAACTATTTATTAATAAATGTTTTGAACTATTATTAATACAAACTGTACATTTATTGTTTATTCGTATGACATGTTAGTTAAATTGAGAGAAAAAGGTGGTTTTATATTCGCATATTTGGACTTTCTCCTAAATAATTTCATTTCAGAAAAAAATATAATTTGCCCACTCTAAATAGGGAACTCATATTGAAGTTCAACATTGTTTACAATCAATTAAATAGTGCTAAGGCTGTTCGGAGGTCAGTAATATATATTTAGAACAATTTTTGGAAGATATTTTTAAAGAAATCTGAAATCTTTAATCATTCACTTCCCTAGTGGGAAAAACTATTATTGGAAGTCAACGGTTTGAGTTTTCTTCAAAATGTCTTATATTGTGTTTAACAACATAAGTAAGAAAGTCTAGCAGGTTAAAAACACGTAAAGGGTAAATAAATGACATAATTTTCAATTTTGAGTGAACTATATTCGTTTTAATGTTATTTAATGCAGTATTTATTCATCTTTGTTAACATTAGTAAAAAGAAAGTTGTTCATTATTAGGTCTTGTTAACTAAGAGTGTATTAACTAATGTTAACAAGGACAACATTGGATTTTAACAACGTATGAGTAAATATTGAACTATTAATTAACTAATTTCTGAGTTATTGTGTACATGTTAGTAAAATCGAGGTTAAATTGGTTTTATATGCTGCACACTCGGACTTTCTCCTCATGATTTCATTTCAGAAATGTATAATTTTCCAATTCTAAATAGGGAAATCAAAGTACAACATTGTTCACAGTCAATTAAATAGTGCTAATGTTGTTTTGAAGTCAATATATATTCAAAGTGTCGTGTCACAAGTTGCCCCTGTTAAAAAAACACAAACTAATGTATGAATATAAACCGACTTTAACCTCAATGTTAGGAAATACGTGAACTAATTGAGCCTTATTTTAATTTTGGACACAAATGGTAAACAAAAAAAAAAAAACAAGATTGTCATTACTGAAACAGCGCACAAACGTTTCTTTTCAATGACAAATAAACAAGGCAATTACCGAAATACAACCGTGGATCGATCCTCCCCAGACTTCAGCTACTTCCCGAACATTGCAGTACCATTGAAGCTACATTATTACTTCAGAAATGTTCAATTACATCCGAAAGAACTTGTAAACAACAACAATGTAAGTTATAATACTACAATGGCAAGATGTCAGTTAAAATGTAACGTTAGTTTAAGAGTTTTGTAATGGTTTACTTACAGTAAGCGACCGCCAGCTAACTGGCTTATCACTCGTTTCCTTAGCGGACGGCTAATGTTAAAATCTCCCACTCGCGCCGTGGCTTTAATCCAGCTATAATTGCTGTAACACGGCGATTACTTTTAGTAAAGTTCCTTCTGGAAGATCGCAACTCATTGATCCGCCTCGGTTTGTCGATCAGCTCGGCTCTTCGGGGACCTGCGATCACGCGTTTGTTTACAATTTTGCAAGGCCAACGGGAAGTGCGTGACGAAACAAGTCTCGCGGGATCTTAATCAAACGATAGAAGGGATACAGCTGCGGCCGTAAGTTAACGAGAATTATTTATATTATATTATTTTATTGACGTCTTTCCCTACCCCAATCCTCACATCAATGTAAAAACAGTAAATATACAAAGTATTATTCATATTATTTATTAAATTACCCACTAAAATGTATTTTATCAACGTCTATCCCTACCCCAGCCCTCACAGCAGTGTAAAAACCGTATTTATACCGAATATTACTCATATAATTTATTAAATTACACATTAAACTGTATTTCATTAACGTTTACCTTTACTCTAATCCTCACAGTATTGTAAAACAGCAATTATACGAAATATTATTTAATGAATTATTAATTAAACTGTATTTTATTAATGTCTACCCCAACCCTCACAGCAATGTAAAAACAGTCATTATAAAGATTATTTAATTTTTTTTTATTAAATTACCCATCAAACTGTATTTTATTAAAGTCTACCCTTACCCCAGACCTTAACAGTATTGTAAAACAGTAATTATACTGAATATTATTTAATAAATTACCAATTAAACTGTATTTTATTAACGTCTACCAGTCCCCAGCCCTCACAGCAATGTAAACAGTAATTATATCGAGTATTATTCATATTATTTATATATTAAATTACCTCTTAAACTGTATTTTAACGTCAACCCTTACCCCAAACCTTCACAGTATTGTAAAACAGCAATTATACGAAATATTACTTAATAAATTACTCATTGTATTTTATTAACGTCTACTCCAACCCTCACAGCAATGTAAAAACAGTAATTATACAGAATATTATTTATTTAATTACCCATTAAACTGTATTTTATTAGTCAACCCTTACCCTAAACCTGAAAAGTATTGTAAAACAGTAATTATACTGAATATTATTTAATAAATTACCCATTAAACTGTATTTTATTAATGTCGATACATCTCCAACCCTCACAACAATATAAACAGTAATTATATCGAGTATTATTCATATTTTTTTAATTAAATTACCTATTAAACTGTATTTTATTAAAGTCAACCCTTACCCCAAACCTTCACAGTATTGTAAAACAGCAACTATACGAAATATTATTTAATAAATTACTCAATAAACTGTATTTTATTAACGTCTACCCCAACCCTCACAGCAATGTAAAAACAGAAATTATACAGAGTATTGTTCATATTATTTATAAATTAAATTACCTATTAAACTTTATTTTAACGTCAACCCCTACCCCACACCCACACAGTATTGTAAAACAGCAATTATGCGAAATATTACTGAATAAATTACTCATTGTATTTTATTAACATCTACTCCAACCCTCACATCAATGTAAAAACAGTAATTATACAGCATATTATTTATTAAATAACCCATTAAACTGTATATTATCAACACCTACCCCACCTAAACAGGTTTCCCGCATTCTTCAAAATATCTTCTTTTGTGTTCAACAAGGGAAAATAAAAGTTTAGATGCACGTAAAGTAGGTTTTATATTTGCATATTTGGACTTTCTCCTTAATAATATGATTTCAGAAATGTATTCTTAGCTAATTCTAAACAGGGACATCACATTAGCAGCCAATGACTATCAAATCACAACATTGTTCAGCCAATAAAATAGTGCTAATGTTGTTTTGAAGTCATACTTGCGTGCTACTTTAGATCCAATATTCAAAGTAGGATGTAACGGTTTTAAAAAAAGAAGGAATACGTAAATATATAACTTTACCTAAATTAGGATGAGTTAATTTTTATTTTTTAGTGTGTGTGATCAATCCCTTTAATTAAAACAACAACAACAAAATAAATAAAAATGGAGGGATTTCAAAATAAAATGATTTAAAACAACTATAAAAAATGTAATAGATCAGAAATGGTAAAATTATGAATAATTTGATCAACTTAGTAATATAGTTATCAACCCATGCACCTCATGAGCTACTGTTGACTTTAATATGTATTTGATTCATTAAAACACATAAAATATCAACATACAAACTGAAAAGCAATAAGACAACACATATCTAAGACATCACACACTTTTATTTCTCCAAATAGTCTTGAAAAACAACTCAGTGAACTAAAAGAATGATAAATGTAATCCATTAATGAGCATTCAGTGTCTTTAACACTGTCTCTGAAGCTTTATTTTGAAATAGATGTAGGTTTGTCTTTTACAACAGGCTTAAATATCATATAACATCATGTTTGATCCATCTAGTCCATTTATACCATAGATGTATATATCTAAGAATATAAACGAGGACATAATAATGATCCACGACCCAGAATGATGGTTAGCCAGTGTAAATTGACTAAATATTATTGACACACATGTGATGAGATGCATGACTATCAGAACCCAATAAACACACACTGCATACAACAACTGCGTACAAAAAAAAGACAAGACTAGTCCTCAAATTAATTTTAAAACGAACCAAATGACAAGAATCTGCTCATTAAAAAGATAGTTCACACAAAAATGAAAGAATTTCACCATCTACAGTTGACTTTCTTTCTTTTCTTCAACCCAAATGAAGATATACCGAAAAATGATGGGAAAATAAACAGCTATAGACATCCATAGTATTGTTTTGCTCCTACTACAGATGTCAACGGCTGCCGCTTTCCAAAACTCTCCAGGATATCTCGAAGAACGACACTCATACAACTGTAGAACCACTTGAAGGTGATGAAATGTTTATGTTTGGGGTGAACTATCCCTTTTTATAACAAGATAACTACAAATAAATGTGATTAAAATGGTCATGAAGTCAAGCAAACAGCTATGAAGGCAATAAATATAACCGATGAAAATGCGACCTAGTCTAAAACCAAATGCTTTAAATGAAGAACGCCTTTTAAACAGCTATAAGAGATGCACATGCCAAAATAATACAGAATTATCAAATTTACACACCATGTTTGGGTTTTTGCTATAACAGGGTATCTGCACATTTTTTAACAGAAAATTTAAGACCTTTTAAGACCTTTTTAAGTCCTCTAAAATGAAAATTTAAGACTTTACCTAAAAAAAAAAAAAATCAGGAAAATGTTCAGTGTGAACACAGAATGATGTGGTGAAGTATGGCGGCAAATCTATGGCGGCAAATCAATGGCAATATAAATCGAGCGCAGCGGTGATGTTTGCGCGCGAGGAGAAGTGAACTGTGAGCAGATTACTTGGCTGACTTGGTTTACTTGTTATCTCTAACGCTATTGGCTACTGTGCCTTTCCGGAAGTTAGCCGGGATTGGACGCAAGTTAAAAGATCATGCCGTTAAATATATATACAATTTGCAAGTCATAATCATAAGAAACTTTCTGAGAACTTTATGAACTTTATGAGGATTCAATCTCGAGAAACAGTCAAATAATATCCAAAATAATGACTTGCATTCTTGTAACATGACTTTCTGAACCCATTTGATTTGTCCGTGCAGCACTTGTCTGGTTTGTTGTATTTTACTTCATTATTAACCACAACAGCAGTGCTCATTATTACACTTGGGGATGATCTTTCTAGGAAATATTGTCTTCAGAAGAGTTTATTTGCGTTTTAGATCTTTATAGATAATTATAATTAATTTATCTTTATAGATAATTGTTAACATTGTTTGTAATATAGATCAGTGTAAAATATATATATCTATATATATTATATATATTTTTCAATCTCATTTTTAGTTAATGATTGAATAACCTGCATATAAAGACTTCAATCAAAAATGATTAGCCCAATTAAACATAAAAAATACAGTGACAGACATTCAGATGGGTTTTTATCGCCACCTATTGAGCAACAATTTAATTTCTACAATCTTCGTTTGGCTTTACTCACTATCCATTACATCATTCCACTTCAGAGGCATACAAATACTACTTTCTATACGACAGGCCCACATCTTAAAGGTCACATATGCAGTTGAAGTCAAAATTAGTAGCCCACTTTTTTCTTGTTTTATTTCGGCAAGAATAAAAGCTGTTTTAATTTTTTAAAACCCATTTTAAGGTCCATATTATTACCCTCTTTAACCTATTTATTTTTTTCGAAAGTCTACAGAACAAACCATCGTTATACAATAACTTGCCCAATTACCCTGCCTAGTTAACCTACTTAAGCCTTTAAATGTCACTTTAAGCTGTATACACAGCAAATTCATCAGAGTTAAATTCTCGGTGTTGAAGCATTTGAGAGTAAAGTGTTGACGTTAAAGAGTTAGATTTTGATAAATGAATATAATAAGAGTTAGAATTGTTTTTATTCAGTGCGAAATCAAGGAGTTATCTTTTTAACACTTGGTGGTGTTATTTCCAACATCCGGGAATTCATGCAGCCCCAGTCACTAAAGAATTTTCCAGACGCCATTTTCCATCTGAGATTTAGAACAGCAACTGGTGAGTCAAACTACCTAAATGTTGGTATTTTACAGACTTTCTTTGAGGAAATACAGTTGTAAACATGTTGTGAAGTTAATAACTTTAGAATGGAGTTACAATTTTAAACTTCTGCGGTTCATTCATGGTCGTTTGTGTATCTAGCTTAACTGCATTACTATTGACTTCTTTTCAAGAATGTTTTTATATGCTCACGCATACATAGTGCATAAAAACATCAAATGTACATGTTCAACACATTTCTGTCACGCTTAATGCCATTTTGTGCGTTGTTACCCATCTGTAAAATAAAATCGACACTTCTCCTTTAATTCCAAGCAAACTAGCGAGGGAATCCCCGGAGCCGCCTAACGTTAGCCTACTCTGCCCGGATGCTAACGGCAACACAGGACGGTTTCCATAAGCTCTGGAGAGTTTCTAAAACATATCTGGTGAGTAAATGAACATATGCTTACTTGTAAAAGGCTTCCTGACTGAAACAAATGATTGTTTGTTATTAGTGTACGTTAATTTGGTTATTTTAAACACCGCGGCCCTTTTAAACTGGTTCATTCGTGGCCGTCCATATACCGTTAGTCCATAACTTAGACTCGTGTGATAACGTACGCTTGAATTATATTAAGTGTTGACAACCATTAAAGTCGGAATGTTAACATTAATGTCTTTAAATGACCGCGTTTGCACTTTATCAGACATTTAACGTTACAGAAGTCTCCCGGAAGTTGCGGGACTAACGTTAACGTTATTGCCCAAGTAGATGCCCGCAAATGAATGATCATCTCCCGGATATCGCGCGTCTCCCGCCCGGTCATTAAACACTTTGCACGCCCCTCTCCACCGCATCCCTCCCAGCTCTTCAGGTACGTCGCGCGCAAGTCACCCCCACCGCTCTTTAGGTACGTCGCGCGCAACTCATCCCATTGCTCTTTAGGTACTCATCTCTCCCGCTACCTCCCGCAAATCAACTCTGTATCCCCCGAAAATGACTTTTCCCAACTCGGGATGTCTGACGTTAGTAAGTTAGGCTATTTCTGTTGGCAGGAACATCTTAGTCAAGCTTTTTCTCCCGCATGATATTGTGCTTAAAACTATAGGCTAAACTTAGCATGTACTGTACACAACATTTCCGTTTTATTAGTGCGTTGTAAACAGCCACCTGTCTGTAAAATTAATCAACTGATTCATATTTGAGCAGCCTAATGATGATACAGGTTTGATTTGTAGATTTATTATCAATAATCAACATCTGAATCAAAAGATATGTGAAAATGTTTGAGGCATACTTTGTGATGTTCATCTCTCTTTTTTATCTGAAGGTTATGCATATGTGTTAGATACTAATGTGTTGTTGTTTTTTAACAGCCACAGTTCTCTGTACAATAACACAAGACCCTGTGACGGTGGCTGATTAGAGACGGATGGTGTATTTTCCAGAGTTGGTGAAATGACCAAGCACACCTTCTTGGTCATATGTGGTGATAATAATGAAGGTATGTTTGATAAAGTTCTGTATTTGTTTTACAATAAGCTGAGAGGGTATTAGAGCATTAGAGAATAACAAATGACATGAAGGTGATAAGTTTTGTATTGTGGGTGAACTGTTACTTAAATAATGTTTTGCTCTTTGCTTTGCACTTTTCCTCTTCTGCTTATCCTAATATTTTAGATTATATTTGGACCTGAAACATCTGCTAGACTCCAGGAAAGGTGGCGTCAATACTGGACCTGAAAGGGCCTAACAAGTTGAATCTGGTAAAGAAACATGCACGCACACACACACACGCACACACACACACACACACACACACACACGCACGCACGCACGCACGCACACGCTTACAGAAAACTGTAAATTTATGAATATTTTTTACACTGTGGCCAATATTTTAGGGAAGTCAGCATCACTAAATGATATAAAAGATTTTAAGCTCCTCTAAATTTTGCTCCAAGTGTTGTGTTAAATTCAGGATTCTGGACAGACAGCTGCCTGTTTTTCCAGTTCTAGTCATAGTGGTTAACCTAATTGTTTTTGGAGATCCAACAGTGATGTATGTGTTTTTTCTACTC